TATCCTTTCTTCTGCTTGGTTGATTCAGCTATTGAAACTTGTGTATGCTTCATGAAGTTCTCATGTTATGTTTTTCAGCTCTATGAGGTCATTTATATTCTTCTCTAATCTGTTTTTTCTCATTAGCATTTTGTCTAATCTTTTTACAGGGTTCTTAGTTTCTTTGGATTGGGTTAGAACATGTTCTCTTAGCTCAGAGAAGTTTGTTGTTACCCACTTTCTGAAGCCTGTTTCTGTCAATTCATCAGACTCATTCTCCATCCAGCTTTGTTCTCTTGCTGGTGAGGAGTTGTGATCCCTTGGAGGAGGAGAGGTGTTCTGGTTTGGGGTGTTTTCATCATTTTTGTACTGGTTTCTTCCCATCTTTGTGGATTTATCTACCTGTGGTCTTTGTAGTTGGTGACTTTAAGATGGGGACTCTGAGTGGACATCCTTTTTGTTGATGTGGAAGTTATTTCTTTCTGTTTTTTAGTTTGCCTTCTAATAGTCAGACCCCTTTGCTGTAGGACTGCTGGAGATCCACTTCAGACCCTGCTTGGGTCTGCAGTGGCTGCAGAACAGTAAGGGTTGCTGCTGGTTTCTTCTTCTGATATCTTCATCCCAGCAAGGTACCTACCAGATGTCAGCCTGAGTTTCCTTTATGAGGTGTTTCTTTGATTATACGGGGGTTGGGGAGCTGCTTGAGGAGACAGGCTGTCCCTTATAGGAGCTCAAATGCTGAGCTGGGAGCTCTGCTGTTCCATTCAGAGCTGCTGGGCAGGTACGTTTAAGTCTGCTGCAGTGGAACTCATAACCACCTTTTTTCCCAGGTGCTCTGTCCTGGAAAGTTGGGGTACTATTTATAAGTTTCTAATGTGCTGCTGCTTTTTTTTCAGAGATGTTCGGCCCAGTGAGGAGGTAGTCTAGTCACAGTCTGCCAGCAGAGGTGTTGCTGAGCTGCCATGGGCTCTGCCCAGCTGCTGTGTGAACTTCCTTGTGGTTTTGTTTACAGAGGTACAGTGAGAACTCCTTCGGTAATGGTGGACTGCCTTAGTTATGGCAGATGCCTCAGTAATAGCGGACTGCCTCAGTAAAGGCAGATAGCCTCAGTAATGATAGACTGTCTCGGTAATGGTGGTCTGCCTCGGTAATGGTGGACTGCTTGGTAGTGGTGGACTGCTCGGTAGTTGTGGACTGCCTCTGTAATGGCTGACACCCTTGCACCCACTAAGCTGGACCAACCTGGGTCCAACTGTACTTGTGGCAAAACTCTCAATCCAGGGCGTTTCAGATTGGTGGTCTTTGTGGGGGTGGGACCTGCTGAGCCAGATCATTTGGCTCCCCGTTTCAGCCCCCCTTTTTTTGCAGTTGAATGGGTGGCTCTGTATACCAGATATTCCAGGTGCCAGTTGAAATGGCCACCCAGATTTTTGTGAGTTTTTCTGTGGAGATCCATGGCACTGGGTGAAATGGCCATGCTGGAAACTCATGGTGCTTTCAGCCCAGGAATCTCCTGGTTTGTGGGCAGTAAAAACCCGTTTGGAAATGCAGTGATCACTCACCCTCTGCATTGTTCTTGCTGGGAAGAACTGCACTCCAGAGCTGCTCCTATTCAGCCATCTTCGGACAATCTCTGCGGATAATTATTAACTTTGTAGATCCCTGGCCTCCACCCAGATCACTGCAATTATTTTAAGATCCTCAGGTAATGCTAATCCAGATAATTCATGATCATAATTTGATAAATGATAACACTTGAGAAACAAGGCAGTGATCCAGAGAAAAAGAGGTAGCTCACTAGCACAGAAATTTAGTGAATACCCACCTACAATGTACCTATAAAAATTAAATATTAAAACAAAACAGTTGACACAATCAACCCATTTTCCTTCACCAGATAGAAACTCAGGCATGCAAAGCAGGGCTGTTTTTTTTTTTTTTTTTTTTTTTTTTTTTTTTTTTTTTTCATTTCAGACCCTGCTCTGTCTGCTCTTCCACTCAGCTTTGCCATTCTGGGGCACCATTTTTATGTTTCCCAATTATAATTGTCCCCAGTGCTCATTTTACATATTTTTCTACATAAAAGGTTGAAGATGAGATTGAGTAGACAGAGAAGTTTCTTTTTAACCCCAAACTCTCACTAACTGGGCCTTTTGTTGACCTAATGAGATGGTTCCCTTGACAACTAACATAGGGGGTAGGGGGTAGAGCTAGAAGATCGGAGCACTCCTATCCAACTCCATCACAGTGAATTAAAAGGCTTTCAGACCAACAACAGTGATGGCACAGGAACAGCCCCCTATGCGGTGCTGAGGAGTGGTGGGGTGGCAGGGAGGTAAGGCAATGCAACTGCTCAATTGTCATCAAAGTTTAAGTGAAACAAAACATACTGGAGGCACTGTTTCATGAACATTCAAATCAATCAGAGTCAATCAAATCTAGTTATTGTACATTGAAATTTGTATTTGAAGTGATTTCTTGAGGTGAAAAGAACAGAACCTTCTCAATTAGAAAAGAACTGACAAATGTTTTATTAAATACTGCATGAGAATTGCACTGTGGTAGGCCACAAAGTTCCAAAGAACAAATAAGATGGCTTGGGGTTTTGAGAAACTTGAATACTGTGAGCTTCCAGTGAAAGAGAAGGTGTGGCATCCCTACTCTGTCATTGACAAACTCGACTGCACTGCAGGCCTCTCATTAAAACATTTCAGAGAAGAAAAAATAATAAAATGTACATGTTCTGAGATGTGCTGTAGAGTAGAGATGGAAAATAAAATGTTCAGGTGCCTCCATTCCCTTCTGTGAGAATGGGAGACATGGGGTTTCAAACAGGATTTGTTTTTCTTACTTTTTCATAACTCTTTTCATGTCTTAAACTTAGCTCTGTCAGTTCTATGAAGGCATTAGCTGCATCCGGACTACTTCATCCTTGGAAATATGTACTAACAACTCCCTTTGTTGGGTTTCTGTGGTAGAAAAATAGGAAATTTATTAAATTTAGTGAGTTAAGATACGAGCTTCCCACATACAAAAATAAAATAAATTAAAATGTCCATAATTTTTATAGAATTGAATGCCATATCTTTAAGATATAATAACCTAAAGAAATAAACTGAAATATAGTGACTTATGTACAACAATGTTCATCATACTGTGACTTATAACAGTATAAAATTGAACATTATACACAAGTCCTACTGTATAAAATTAGACAAATAAATTTGACCTCTCCATTTCCAGCTACTGAGAATCAGGTTTGAAGATATTAAAGGATACAGAAAAATGTTCAATTTTGTATACTACTGTTGAATAAATAGAAAGCAAATTGTAAGATAATATAAACTAAAATATAAATACTATACATGTTCATTAAAAATCTGGAAAACATGCCCTTTACATTTTTATTTAAAAGTAATTAACTCTAATTATGGGTGAATTCTGTTTTCTACTTCATATGTCTGTGATTTCCAAATGTTTGACAATAGAAATGTTCTATTTTTTCCTTACTGAAAAAAATTGCTGGCTGGGTGTGGTTGCTCATCCCTGTAATCCCAGCATTTTGGGAGGCTGAGGCAGGTGGATTGCTTGAGCCCAGGACCAGCCTGGACAACATGGTAAAACTCCAACTCTACAAAAACAAAAACAAAAATTAGCCAGACATGGTGGTGTAGTCTCAACTACTTGGGTGGATGAAGTGGCAGGATTGCTTAAGCACAGAAGGTCAAGATAGCAGTGAGCTGCGATCACATCAGTGCACTCCAGCCTGAGCCACCAAGTAAGAGATGTCATCTCAGAAAAAAAAGGTTGTTTTCCTATTATTGAATTCTTGATGTATTATAGATACAAGTCTTATCAAATATGTGTTTTGCAAATATTTCCTCCATTCTATGGCTTGTGTTTTCATTTTCATTTTCTTAATACTGTCTTCTGAAGAGTAGAAATTTTTAATTTCAATAAAACAGAATTTATAAACTTTTTTTTAAAGGTTAGGATTTCAGTGTTATATCTAAGAAATCCTAGCCCAAGCTTACAAATAATTTTTCCAGAATTTTTATAAAAGTTTATAATTTTAAGTTTTATATTCAGCCCTATGATGCATTTGAGTAAATTTTTGTATATTTTCCTTTAAATTTCTTTAATTTATAGTAGTCTCTTTGGTTTTTAGTTTTGCTTCTTATGATATTTACTTTTTTTAAGAAGCATTCAGAACAATTGTCTGGCATAATATCCAACATGTTGGCTGTGGTGTTAAACTGGTTTCTCATGCTTAGGTTCAAGTTAAACATTTATGGCAAAATTAATCTACAGAAGTTATGTGCTTAATGCATGACATCAGAGGACATTAAAATAAACTCATATTGATATTTTTAATTCAAATTTAATATTACATAGTTTTTTCCTTAACTATTCAAATGTTATATTTATATTTCTTTATCCCTCGCAGTGAAAACCTTCGTTCCTCTTAGTAATATACTTATTTTGTATATTATAAATCAAACATTTTCAGAATTAAAATAATATTACAGCTAGCAATAAACTATTACGTAAAGCTTAATATTTCTTTACAGTTCTTTTATCTTTTATAATGAATTCTACTAAGATAAAACAATGTTTTCAAAAGTATGTGAATTAATTCCTCTCATTGCATAACTATATCATCCATTTAATATGCAGTTAGATTCATTTGTTTATCTTCATATTCAATTTTAGAGTTTGCTTTTCTATCCTTAGTTTTAGTTTTAACAATTTAGTTTTATTGTTTCAATATGTAGAGCATTTGCATAGCTCAAATCACAAATGATATTTGAAAAATTTTATCTTTTCACCCATTCTCATTTCTACCCAATGGATAACCATTTTTATTAGTTTCTATCTGCCATCTTCTACTTTTGTATTTGTACTTTGTTTTTGCAAAAGCAAACAACTTTGTGATATCTATTCTCCTTCATCTTTCTTTCTTATGCAAAGGTAGCATAGTATATACACCCTTTTGCACTTTGATTTTTTTTTTTCAGTTAAAAACACATTCTGGAAGTTACTTCATGACAGTTCACAGATATGCTCCTCATTCTTTTTTATGACTTCATAAAAATTCATTGTGTGGATGTACCACAGTTTATTCTACTCCTTTCACATAAATAGACATTGGGGTTATTTCTTATTTTACTATTACCTCACAATATAACATTCAATAGCTTCCATTTTGCCCATATATAGAGAGATACGTCTTCAGGATGAATTCCCAGAAATGGGATTGCTGGATCAAATGGTGATTGCATATATGGTTCTAATAGTTATTTTCACATTCATCTTTTTAGAAGCTAAACCATTTTGCACTGTCACCAGGAATATAATAGAGTGGCTGTTGCTTTTCAGAAAATAATTATTTAAATTAGATGCCCATGGAAGGCTCATCAATATGGGAGAGAAATTCTGAAAAAATGTATGCATTTATTTATTTATTTATTTATTTGACACAGAATCTTGCTCTGTCACCTAGACGAGTACAGTGGCACCATCTTGGCTCACGGCAACCTCTGCCTCCCGGGTTCAAGCCATTCTCTTGCCTCAGCCTCCTGAGTAGCTGGGATTACAGCTGTGAACCACCTTGACCAGCTAATTTTTGCATTTTTAGTAGAGATGGGGTTTAGTAGAGGTCAGGTTGGTCTCAAACTCCTGACCTCAAGTGATCCGCCCACCTCAATCTCCCAAAGTATTGGGATTACAGCCGTGAGTCACCATGCCCAACCTGAAATGTACTCATTTAAAGCAGCTGTAAACTGCTAGTAGATCATACAGAACTGAATATAGATGTGTGTAAAGATAACAAAGAAAAGTTGTGCATGTATGAAAGAAGACAATGTCTGTGGATGTGATTATCATCCTAGGAACTGACTTCCCACTCTTTTCCTGCCTTTTCACCTTCCCAGGCCAACTGCCTCTTAATCTTTCATCAGAACAGTGGACTTGTGGGATGAGAGGTGCATTTACTCCTGAACACTCCTTAGCTTGCCTGTCTCATGAGTGCTATCTTTGATGTTCCCAAAGCTTGTAAGTCATTTCTAGGATTGCTTAAGCAGAATCAGTGTCTGAATTCTCTATTTACCAATTCATTTTATGACCAACTTTCTAGAAATAGCTAGAGGGGCAGAGAGGAATCAGGCTGTATTCTTGTTAAAGTGAGTGTCAACGATTCAGATTTAAAGAGTATGAAACTCTCTCTTTCTAGTATATTGTCACAGAGGAAAGAAGGTCTGGGTATACAGCTGCCCTCTTAGGCAAATGCTGGGGAGATTGTTTCCAGATTATCTCTTAACCCTTCTTGGTTTTGTTCCCAGGGGAAGAGGACCAAGTTAGCTGACAGATGAGACAGAAAAATCTTCATTGACTGGGCTGGGCATTCAGGATGTAGGGGTTTTGCTTTGAAACTCTAGTTTGCATTACTTTTGGTCTTCCCAGAAGTGCTTGACTTCAGAGAGAGTATTTTCTTGTTGCTGAGAAAATATAGTGAAATCTTGTTTTGCCCCCATTATGAATAAATATCATAGTCTGCAGTCACAAAAAAAGCACATTGCACCTGGAAAGAACAGACAATCAAAATGAGCCATTCTGTCTGGCACAGGTCTCACGTAGATGAAACCTTGAGTCCCTTTTTCCAAGGTGCTGATTTTCTAACACAAATAAGTCTATCCCTGACATTTGCAGTACTGATACGCAACAACTTTGCAGATTTGGTAATTATATGATTATACGCCATTTTCTTTACCATTGACAGATTATTATAACCTTGGAAAATTTGTGGTTTTATAACTTAAATGTATATTTTTTATTTGATAAGATGTTCTTCCAACATCTGAAGTCTCTTGTAAAATTTTATTTGTAAAAATAATGTTTTCTTTGTCTTTTCACATGGCCTACTTCTCCCTTGCAGTAAATGCCTCAAGTTGCCATTTTCCGTGTTCTACATCCATGATTCAGGGTGGACAGGGTAGCAAAAGTGTCTACACAGTCAGAGACTCTGCAAGGCTAACCAAACAAATTTAACTAGGGATAAAATTGATACCTTATCTCATTTGATTCACTTCCTCGTATGAGCTGTTTGCCATAAACTGTAAGAGTCCCAGCATCAAATCTCACTTAGAACCTTTCTGAGGCTGAAGAAGTGGTCCGTTTGCTTTTTAATATTTCTCGCTTTTCTATTCCTATAGAAATTTCTATGTAGTGTATTAGTGGCTAATTCATTTTAGATAAATATTGTTTTCTCCAAACTTCTCTTTTAAAATAAACTAGGCCTGAAAACAAATTGAGTTAATAAAATGTTTCTGTTTGACAGAATTCACCTTCCATAATGGAAGGGAAAGCATAAGAGCCCTGGGTACCTAGGAAAATGGGGACAAGGGAAACTGGGGGCACATCATCACATATTTTACAATTTTGCAATACTTGGTGTCTACACCAACTGGATCTCACAATGTGCATGGTGGGTTAGAAGGCCCTTTTGCTGGTAGGTTTTTCAACTCTGACACCATGGACTTGTTCTGGGATTTTGAAATAAAAAGGAAACTAAAGCACCCAATTGATTGAAGAACTCTATCAATGAAAGGCATGGCCTAGGCTCCAATCAGTTTTCCCAGTGAATATAGAAAGGTATTCTGCCCTCGCTTTAAATATTTATTGAAACAGAAGGTTTCCTGAGCAGTGCAGACTGTCTTTCTGTTGAGTGTTGCTCTTTGCTGGCATTCCTAAGGAACTGGTGATGTGTGAGAATGAGGCTGTTTTTCAACACCTCTCATAATTTTTCCATGTTCTAAAAACAGTTGTCTAGACTGTTAGTTTCCACCATGCCTGGCCACATTGTCCCAGCCTGAGAGAACTCCTTGGGAGCCCACAATGAACATGACAATTTTACATTTCACTTTTACAAGCCATCCACTCTTGCACTTGTGTGAACATCATTGGAATCAATGGGCAAGTCAGTGTTTTGCTTTATAGACTCAGTCTTAACAGAAAAAAGGGAAGAAAGAAAATTAGGTCTTTCCAGTGAGAATATTTGGTCTAATTAGACACTGAATTAACAAAAGTCAGTGAATTTGGGGGTATCATCTGAGAAATCATTTAATAATGAGCATATTGCTTGAATAGCTTGAAGTCAGTTAAATGAAACAGATAGAGCTTACCATTAATTCCTTGGTCCTGAAATAACAGTAAGGAAAATAAAAAGAAACATGACACTTCAAACTCTATAATCTTCAAACCAAACTCATCATTTTTGCCATATGACCTTTTCCACCTCCCACATTCTGTAGCTCAAGAAACAGCACTGTCATTTACCCAGTTTAAGACAGAACCTGCACACCATCACTTCCTTCTGTCATCCTAATGTATAATCTCAATTAACTAACCTTCTTAGAATCTTTCAGATTCATTCCCTGCTCTTCATAATTCTTTGCTGTATCCCTGATGGAAGCCACCATCATGTCTTACGTGGATATTGCAATAGTCTTAAGAGTAGTTTCTTTCTACTCTCATTCTTGTTTAGTTATCCACATTCCTCCTCCAAACTATCCATTCATAATGCAGCCAGAATGATGTCTCTAAAATATAGTATGATCACATTTCTCTTTTGAAATATTTTAATACTTCCATTCATTCAGTGAATGAACTCTAAAATGCCTTAGCATATCTAATGATGCTCTCCTATAGCCACATCTGTGGTCCTATACAGCCACTATCTGCACACACAGTGAATATTGTGCCATTTTACACTTCATGTTTTCCAGTTCAAACATAGAATAACCTTACAACACCCTACCATGGTTTTTGTGGTGTTTCAGTTCAATGCCTGACATGTTACTGAGGTGTTGAACCTGTCTTTCTAGTCTGGCTGTGCCAGGACTTCAATGTTCTCAGCACTTCTGAATCACTAGAGTCTCTGTTCCATTCTCCACTCTTTTGTAAGCCTCACACAATTCATCTTGCTCATGTGAAGCCCCATCCTTGGTCAAGAACTTATGCAGAACTCCTCCTACCCCCATTTCTGTGTAGACTCTACAGTCACCTCTTCTCTGGAGATCCCAGCTGCTACAACTTCCTCAAGTCAGCAACACCATCTTGTTTTGCTAATTCCTGCTTGCTGGGTTGCAGTACAAATGGTCCTAGGCAGGGAGATGGGACAAATGTGAGATTCCCTTTGGTAGTTTCCATTCTTTCAAAGACTTCAGTCATATATAGCCTTTTGTCTAGTTTTACATGTATATATTGTAGATGGGCTAGTCCCGTACCCATTACAACTTATTAATCAAAACCAAGAGGTGATGGGCAGTTTTTTGTAATGACTGTAATATGCTTTAGGTAAACAGGCCTATGACATATTTAAATTAGAAACTTGTAGAGTTTAATTCCACTTTGTTTTCTATAAGACTTATCTGAGAGTCCTTATCAATACAACTTGAATTTAGGAAGATATCATAGAGGTTCCTGAAGCATTCTGAAAGAATTTTATTTTTCAAATTCTGAACATTTTAGAATTTTATCCATAGTTTCTCTAGGATTGCTTATCTTCTTTTGCCTTTCTATTTTCCTTTTTACCTTCATTTTTCCCCTTGTCCTTTTAGTTAACAAATCTCATGTAGTAGTATGAACCTGGCATTATTCTAAATGCTTAATAGATATTTATTTAATTTTCAAGCACAATGGATGAAGTAAAAACCAGAGTGGTAGTTGCAAAGGAAGCATTCCTTCTTTAACATTTTTTTCTTCTATAAAATAAAATAGTTTGTATTGTCCCCTTCCCCTGCTTCTTTTTAAGTCTGTTTGAGAATAGTGAAAAAAATCTCCTGTAAACCTTTTTTGAAAAAATGTAGAACAATTACAAGCAACTTCTTTTTGGTGAAATCTTAGGCAATTAACTCCTTTTTATGCTTTACTTTGTCCTTTGGAGACTTGGAAAAATTATTCCTATTCCTCATGTGAGTAATTTCAATACAGGATAAAACTTTGTCAATTTTTATTTCTTTTTAAAAACTTCCAAACTAGACAGATCTGGTGATCCAAGTTACAGTTCAAGTTGTAGTTACTTAGGAAAAAATGTCTTTTGAATATAGGACAAATTCAACTATTTATAAGAGCCTGCCTTTTTTAATGTTACTTTTTTATAACTCTGGAATTGCAATGGAAATGCCCCAAGAGAAGTGTGAAAACATGACTGCCAGTGTCCAGACAATCTGCTCTAAAAAGTGGAGTCAGTTGAGGGAAAACCAGACGAAACAAAATCATTGCCACCATTCTCTCTTATGTTCTACAGTTAAAGCACCCAGTGTTTGCATGTTTTTTTTCTTTATTAGGAAGATACTCTCTTCAGAGTATATGGCATGCTAGTTCCCAAAGAAGAGTGATAGAAAATCATTTCATCTACAGCAGCGAGGACACCAAGATGTAAGGGGACATTCCAGCCTTGACTTTGGCCTTTGCAGTGCAGACATCCACAAATGGCAGTCCCAAAATATAGGTTTTTGCTGTGACTGTAAAGCCTCATTCCTGGTCCATGCATATTGTTGAGACATTTATAAATTAATTAATGGGCATATTGTTACCCTAGATAAAATGGAAAATATTTCTTATGTAAGACCTGCTCTAGGGGTGGTCTTCTTCTTTCTTGGACTGGAATATTTATATGCCCATCAAAGTGAATATGCCTTTTTGGAGAGCCAGAGATGGTCCTCACAGGGGAGTTGGGATCGTTGTTCACATACAAACACCACCTTAGGACCCACTCTCATGCTTTTCTCACTGCCTGGGACACTCCTCCTCCTCACTCCTCATGGCTCATATTCTCAGATCTCCATTTAAAGGCCACCTCCTTGTAGGTGCCTCCCTAAATTACCCAAATTCAAATGGATCTTCCAGATATGTTCTCTCTTAGCCCTGTGTTCTTGTCCTATGAAACACTTGTCACACTATGCAAATATGTTATTTTTGTTTGTTTATTGGCATATTGCTTGTTTCTTCCACTAGACTACATGCTCTATGAAACCAAGAACTATTTCTGTTTGACAAACCACAGCACATATGATTTCTAATATAGATACTGGCCCATAGTGGGCATTCAGTAAATACTTGTTTGCAGAATGAATGACCACCTTTTCTCTACCTGCACCCCCATTGGGGATATGACAGCCATGCAGAGAGAGCTTCAACAGCCAGACAGAGGAGAAGGCAAATTCATCTAATTCAAACCTATGTAGAAGACTTATAACAGCACCCTATGGAAAGGGTCACAAATATGTAGGATAAACAGTGAAAAGTGAGGTTGACTTCGGCAACCAACTAAAGAAAGCAGAACCTCACACAAGCCACATTTACCAAGGCACCTGGTATAAACCCAGAGGAAAGGGCAGGGCTTTTATTGCTCATTTTTTACAAACTAAGGTTTTTTAAAAATTGAGGTTTTTATATACTGGTATTAATATTGTCCTCCCTGTGAGTGGGATGATGAAAGTAACCAGTACACAACAAAGTAATACCAAAGAAATTCAGCCTACTGGGATAAGAGCTTCCAGAGCTAAGGCACAGAGAAAGTCACCTTGACACCTTCTGTCAGCCAAGTGGGGAAATACTTGTCTGAGTAAGTAGGCTCAAATGAAAATTGAGTATTCAACTAAAAGAGTGTATTAAACAAAAATATCTCACCATTTTTTCAGTGTAACAGGGAACTTTTGGAACCAATATGCCCAATTCTAATCCATGTGGCAAAGAAATTTTATCTGGTGGGCTAAGTCTGACCTATTGGCTATGGCTGCCCAGAGTGCTAGATTGTAAAAGCTTTTTGTGTTTGTTTTGTTTGATATTTTTATTTTAAAGGAATATTTCATAGAAGTTAAAAAACAATTTTTCCTCCTTAATTTGTATCCCCAAAGGGCACTGGTTCTTCCCACTGAGATATATTCATCCTCCCTTTTTAGATAAACAACTGAACAATATTCCATATAAACCCAGGCTGGGTTATAGTCCTCATATGCCATGAATAGGCTCCAAATCTTAGTGTAGGGCAATCATCTGTCATATTGAGTACATTTAATCAGGCGCTCCTAAATATTAATTTTCTATTAACAAGATAAAAGTTGAAGCATTGACAAAGGAATTTACATAAATTTCATAAGGTTCATATTGTTTATGTCTAAAAAATGAAAAGGATTTTTCCATAAAATCTGAAAAAAATATTTTGAGTATATTAGATAATGTACGGTATATTGCAGAAATGATGTTACTGGTAACATTGTATGTAATTAGTAATTAACTAATTAATTAAGTTTTTAATTTTTGTTCTTGTGGCTCATCACAATTAATTAATTGTTGTATACAAATTAACTTATTAACAAATTAATTCATTAATTATTAAATACATATAATGCCTCTGCTTTAAACTTGTTGGTGCTATACCATTGTCGATAAAATTAAAGCTCAATCAAGTGCCTTAAGATGGCTTACAAGACCTATTTTCATCTACTAATTTCTACCTCCCTAACTTCATATCTCCTTTGTCTTGCACCATAATCACCAAAAATACCAAATCGCGAATAATTCCCACCTCATCAACCATTCTTTGCTTCCTTAACGTTGGCCATGTGGCTCCCTCTGATTGGAATGACTCCTTTTTCCTTTTTTGCCTGATAATTTGAATTTATCCTTAATTAGCCCTTCCTAATACCACATCTCCAATTATGCATGGTAGGTACTCCTCCTTTATATCATAAATTGCTGAGTTTCTGTCTTTATCACTATGCAAATAAGTGTAAGTATTTTATATATGAATCTCTCTCTCTGTAACATAGGCACTTCTCAAGGTAGTAAGCAGTGTATCGTTACCCTTTGTATACTCAGTGCCATATCATTGCCAGTGTTTGACTCATTAGAGGTGCACAGGAAATGTTAGCTAGTTGAATAAAGTAATGAATAGAGTAAAGTCATCATTTCAGATAATGAAGGTGAAAAGTACACAGTAATTCATGGTGGTAAGCCACAAGAACAAAAAACAAAACATTACATGATTACTTACTTACTACACAGCTTATGGTAAAAATAAGATGAGAAAATCTGTATGCAGATCATAGAAGAAAACTGCAGCTGCTTTGGTGTCACTTTGGTTCCTTGATTCACCCTCCTTTTCTCTATACTGCCGCCACGTCATTGTCCTTCCTTCCATGAGTTCTTCTCTGGTAATCAGATCATCATTTCACGACCACCATTTTTCACAGCTAACTTTGCTTCTTCTCAACATTTATACAGTTTTCTATTTATGCTATTGGCTTGATATTTAAGTATAACCTTGAACTCTTAGACATCTTTTCTGTGTCCTGTTTAATGAAAACCAATAAAACCATGTTTCTGATACATTTGTTTCCTCTATAATATCTGGTAGTAAGTCTCAACAGATGGGGAATGTGTTACAAATATGTAACATATTCATTATGAGAATCAGGAAATCTGGGGAAAAATCCTGAGCTTTGAGACCTTGGGCAAATTATTTAACTTCTGTAATCTTCACCTCTGTGGCATGTAACAAAGTGGATGCAGGGAGAGCTTGAGATCATGTCTGTGTAGTGCTTCATCAACTGTGAATTGCCCTTCAAATGATAAGTAATTATCTTAGCTCGTTTTCTGTTGCTGTAACTGAACACTTGAGACTGGGTAATTTATAAAGAAAATAATGTTATTTCTTACAATTTTGGAGACTACAAAGTTCAAGGTTGAGAGGCTGCATCTGCTGAGGGACTTTTTGCTGGTGAAAACATTCTGGAGAGTCCCAAAACATCACAGGGCATCAGTGTGTTCCCTTGTGATGACTTTGCTTAAAAACTATTGAATTAAGATTTCACCTTTTTTATAACACAGAACTCTGACCCAAAGAGTCATTATCAAATCCTCCCATGAACATTAGGGAGTTTTAAAAATGAAAGCAGGACCAAAATCCAGCTGGTTTTGAGTATCAGAGCAGAGGGAAGTGATACTTTCAGAGAAATGGAGTTGAATCTTAAAAAGTTAAATACAGTGGCCAACTGTATCACTAAAACTGCTTCTTTATTAGAATTTTCTCCCTGATCTGGAAATAGTAAGGGCCCTGACATAAGTTAGCCAGAACATTATTTATAGTTATTTGTTTAATTAAAAATGAGGGAAAAGCAATTCTACCACTGCATGCAATATTTTGGTAGGGATTTTCTGCTTAAAAACAAACCACATGCACTTTATTTGGACTTACTTTCAAGAAAATGTTTGGAAAGAAACTTACCAAAAGGGACATAATGTTTTCTTCCATCACTCCTAAAAATAGTAGAGCTCTAAACTTTCTTTTTTTATTCCAAGATAAAAATGTTAACAGATATATACAAGTCACAAGCAGGTTTTGAGATTTTTCTGAGGTTGTTTTTGTTTGTTTGTTTATTAATATGAGAGAGAGAAGAGGAAAGAAGAGAGAAATTTGGTACTTTTCTCAGCAGTGATTTAGTGTTGTGCCTTCTTCCCATTCTTTGGCTTACAGTTTGGAAAAGGGAAAAGCAGCTAGCCAGGAGGACTTGCCACCCAATTCCATTCATAGCAGCAGTTACTGTAGACCCCAGGTAAGAGAAATTTTTATTTCTATGCTGACTGTTTGTATTAGTCCATTCTCATGCTGCTATAAAGACCTGCCTAGGGTGGTGTGGTGGCTCATGCCTCTAATCCCAGCACTTTGGGAGGCTGAGGCGGGTGGATCACATTAGGTCAGGAGTTCGAGATCAGTCTAGCTAACATGGTGAAACCCTGTCTCCATTGAAAACAAAAACATTAGTCAGGCATGGTGCCATGTGCCTGTAATCCCAGCTGCTTGGGAGGCTGAGGCAGGAGAGTCACTTGAATCCGGGAGACAGAGGTTGCAGTGAGTTGAGATTGTACCACTGCACTCCAGCGTGGGTGACAGAGTGAGACTCCCTCTCCGTCCCAAAATAAAAAAGAACCACCTGAGACCGGGTAATTTATAAAGGAAACAGTTTTAATTGATTCACAGTTTCACAGGGCTGGGTGGGGAGGCCTCGGGAAACTTGCATTTGTGGCAGAAGGAAAAGCAAAACATGTCCTACTCATGGCAGCAGAAAAGGGAAGTGCAGGGCAAAAGAGGGAAAAGCCCTTTTGCCCTGCACCATATGTGACACTAAAACAGCAAACTACTGATAGCAAAAAACCATCAATGCAACAATAAAAAAAAAAAAAACTACCTAGTTAAAAGTAGGCAAAATGCCTAAAGAAATATGTCATTAAAGAAGATACTAGGTTGGTGCAAAAACAATTTTGGCTTTGCAATTACTTTTAATGGCAAAAACCACAATTATTTTTGCACCAACCTCATATAAAGATGTCAAATACAAAAGATGCTCAACCTCATGTGTCATTAGGGAAGTGCAAATTGAAATGACAATGAGATACCACTACCCACCTATTAGAATGACCAAACTCCAAATCACTGAAACACCAAATACCGGTGAGGATGTGGAGCAACAGGAACTGTCATTGATCACTAATAGGAATGCAAAATGATACAACTGCTTTGGAAGACAGTTTTGTGGTTTCTTATAAAACTAAAATATTATTCCCTTATGATCCAGCAATAGTGCGTGTTGGTATTTATCCAGATTAGTTGAAAACCTAGGTCCACACAGAACCTACACACTAATGTTTATAGAAGCTTTATTCATAATTGCCAATAATTGAAAGCAACCGAGATATCCTTCAATAAGTAAATGAATAAACTGTGATACATTCAGACAATGAAATATTATTTAATGCTGAAATGAAATGAACTATCAAGCCACAAAAAAACATGGAGGAAAGTAAAATCCGCCTTACAAAGTAAAGAAATCAATCCGACTTCAATTATGTGACATTCTGGAAAAAAGCAAAACTATATAGACAGTAAATAATTAGTGGTTGCCAGGAACTAGGGGTTGGGCGATATGGGACAGGATAAATAGGTGGAGCACAGGGTATTCTTAAGGCAATGAAATTATTCTGTATGCTGTTTTAATGGTGGATACATGACATTTGTCAAAGCCCATAGAACTGTACAATACAAAAAATATGAGCCCTAATGTAAACTATTCTCTTTAATAATAACATATTTGCTTTGGTTGATTGATTGTAACAAATGTACCACACTAATGCAAGATGCGAAAAATAGGGAAGACTGGTGTTACTATTGGAGGTTTGGGAGTAAATGGGAACTACCTGTATTTTCCACTCGTTTTTTTGTAAGTCTAAAACTGTTCCAAAAAATAAACTCTATTAATAACATATTTTTTTAAAAGGCCAGGGCTTGAAAAATTATAATGGGGTATAATTAGGAGCCTTCTCCACCCACTTTTGAGGATCATGTAAATGTTCCACATCCTAGTGGAAAGGGAGGGGCCCAGTAACAATAAACATTCACTTTTCTACACGTCTCTCACAATAAAGGCTTTACCAGATTCAACTGTGTTGAAAGAAAAGAAATACATACTCTATCGAGTTTATAATATATTCATGTCTACTACAGATGAGTTTAGGTTTTCCATCCCTTTTGTCATTTATTCTTGGACACTGGGGTTTTCATTTGTATTTTTACAATATTTTAAAAGTATTCTTTCTGGTTCATTTATTTTTTAAGGTATTATTGGTTACTTCAATTTTTTATTTATAATTGAGTAAATGTGTACTTTCTTTTTTTCTGGAATAGTCATTTTATTTTTCTTCTAAAGCAATATATTGCCTTCAGTTGATTGATTCATTTTACTATTTTCTTTTTAAATTTAATCTATTTTATCCTTTTATTATTTACTCTCCTATGCTTTTCTTAACCTAAATTTTGTTACACATTAGTTTAATATTTAAATCACTTAATAATATTTTTTTCTTTAGTAATATGCATGTCTAAGACTAAATATTTTCTTTTGAACTAAGGAGTGTGATATTTATTATTTTCTTTGCCAAATTATCTAGTTATGCTATATCTTTGTTTTAATTTTTTCTTTGATTTAGAAGTTATTTTAAAATATTTTGTGTTTAATTTCCTCCGTAATTTTCTGGTCTTTATATTATTTTCTACTTTTGACACATAATATACTGAAAAAAAATGTTTCATATAATTTCTACTTTGGGGGTAAAGGCCGCTTAAAGGCAGAATCCTGAGGCCTCCCCATTCTAGGCCGCAGTTCCTAGATGACATTTCTAGACATACCTTGAGCTAGAATGGAATCTGCTACCTTGAAAGAAAGAACTCAGTCCTGGCGACATGCATCACCTGCTCACTAAATACCTGTTGAGCCCTAAATAATCAGGAGTAGTAGCTGGGTAGTACCTACCATAGGCCTTGGGTGAGACTCTGAGACATGCTGGCTTCAGGTAGGACCCAGTACATTCCCAGCTGAGGTAGTGTATTAATGGCTGTTCTTGCATTGTCATAAAGAAATATCTGAAACTGGGTGATTTAGACAGAAAAGAGTTTTGCTTGCCTTACAGTTCTGCAGGCTGTACAGAAAGCATGGCACCAGTATTAGCTCGGCTTCTGGAAGGCCTCAGGCAGCTTTTGCTCATGGTAGAAGGTGAAGAGGGAGCTGTACATCAAATGATAGAAGCAGGAGGAAGTGAGTGGTGGGGAGGTGCCAGACGCTTTTTAAATGACCAGATCTCACAAGAACTCACTCACTATTGTGATAACAGCACCAAGAGGATAGTGCTAAACTATTCATGAGATATCTGCCCCCATGATGCAATCACCTCTCACCAGGCCCCACCTCCAACATTGGGGATTACATATAATTCAACATGAGATTACATATAATTCATGGGGATTACATATAATTCATGGGGATTCTATATATATATATATATATATAATGTGTATATATATATATATATATATATATACACACACACACATATAATTCAACATGAGATATATATATATTCTTCCTTTCAATGTGGTTTGCTGCCTCCATCCCCCCATCACCTATATCTGGCATTTATCCCCATGTTATCACTCCTCAATATCCCTACCCACTGCTGTCCCTCCCCTATTCTCCCTAAACAGATCCCAGTGTGTGATGCTCCCCTCCCTGTGTCCATGTGTTCTCATTCTTCAACATGCAGTGAGTGAGAACATGTGGTGTTTGATTTTCTGTTCTTGTGTCAGTTTGCTGAGAATGATGGTTTCCAAATTCACCCATTTCCCTACAAAGAATATGAACTCATTCTTTTTTATGGCTGCATAGTATTTCATGGTGTATATGTGCCACATTTTCTTTGTCCAGTCTATCGTTGATGGGCATTTGGGTTGATTACTGGTGTTTACTATTGTAAACAGTACCACAGTGAACATATATGTTCATGTGTCTTTATAATAGAATGATTTATAATCCTTTGGATATATACCCAGTAATGGGATTGTGGGGCCAAATGGAATTTCTATTTCTAGGTCCTTGAGGAATTGTCACACTGTCTTCCAGAATAGTTGAACTAATTTACACTCCCACCTGCAGTGTAAAAGTGTTCCTATTTCTCCACATCTTCTCTAGCATCTGTTGTCTCCAGATTTTTTAATGATTGCCATTCTAACTGGCATAAGATGGTATCTCAGTGTGGTTTTGATTTGCATTTCTCTAATGACCAGTGATGATGAGCATTTTTTCATATGTTTGTTGGCCTCATATATGTCTTCTTTTGAAAAGTGTCTGTTCACGTCCGTCACCCACTTTTGAATGGGTTTGTTTGTTTGTTTGTTTTTTTTTTGTAAATCTGCTTTTGTTCTTTGTAGATTCTGGATATTAGCCCTTTGTCAGATTTTTTCCCATTCTGTTGGTTTCCAGTTCACTCTAATGATTGTTCCTTTTGCTGTACAGAAACTC